GCTTTACTTTCGTTAGTCCCTGATTAGGTATTTTACCTGCAAACTGATTGCCCCACCTACTGTCTCCCTGTTCTGTACTGGTGCAATTGCAGGTTCAACTCAGAAATTTACAGCAGTACAAGGAGGTAAAGAGAGATTAATGTCTGGGCAAATTCCTTTTAATAAACCAGAGAGAGATCACAGAGCCAACACCCCCTGATGAAGTCCAGTTGGGCAAGTCACCACCTAAATGAGAAACCCTGCTGCTGGGTCCTCTGCATGGGCATTGCTTTAGGAAAACTTACACAGACACACAAAATCCAGCTGTGACGTAGGGGGCTCTAGCGCTGCTGACAGTAATCTGCTCAGAGCCATTGCAGATCAGTGTGGCAGAGGTGGGGGTGGGATCAACATTTTCCATGAATTTGTGAACTTCCCCACAAATCCATGTAAACTTTTACATCTAAGCAGCTGGTGGCAGTGAGATGCCTTACTCTGCTCTGCTAGATAAAAATCACCTCCCCCTTGTCTTTCTTTTGACCTGATTCCTCAGCAGCTTCATTTCATGCTCCCTAGTTTTAATTCACACCAATATCAACAGAGGATGCAAGGGCTAAGCCATGGAATTGTTACTCCACGTTGATGTGAGCTCTTAAACATCAGTTATATCCCGAATCCGGAATTGCCACCCTTTAGTGGTAAGAGAAATACTCTGTATAAAGCTATGGCTGTGAACAGATGGATAGATATAAGGTGACGTGTGGAGCTGGAAAAACCAGTTAGTAAAGTTTATAAAGTACTTTGGGAGTCCATCTGGATGGATGGTACTTTATAAATGCAAGGCCATTATCAGTGCCTCCTAACAGCACCCGACCATCAGTCTGTGCTTTTTGGATGGACAGTTAAAGAAAACACATAAAATATATTCTTCAGCAGATATTTCACCCAGACTCTTTTACTTGTAATAGCAGAGAGATCTGGGCTTTCATTTGTACAGACCATTCCCATTTGCAGTCACAGGGAAAAATCCACAATAGCTCAACTCATGAAGCTGTTGGATTTGTTATATTTGAAGAATGAGGATTCACAGCACAGCCCTGGAAATAAATGAGTGGTTTGGGAATTTGCTAGTGGCAGGTCTCTTGCAGCAGTGGAGGATAGGATAACCAAAGGGACAGTAATGGGAGAGACACAGGTTTTTTTGGTGGTGGGTTTCGTATTTTTTCCTCCCCTCAGGGGCACTTCACAGAATTAAATTCAAGCCAGTAACAAATGAAAAAATAGATCGCCTTTCTGGTGTCAAGGGGGTGCCACCTGTGAATATTGGACATCAGCAGCAGTTGTACAAAAAGTTCATTTTCCTTGTGGTCTCCCTGACTGCCCTTGGGAGTATGGGGGAAGAAACAGGAAGACATTGTTCCTGCATATGACTTGGAGCCAAACAGAATGATCACAAGGATCTCATTGAGACTCCTCCACAAGGTTGTGACGATCTCATTCCTCACAGCACTTCTTTGGCTAAAGAAATCTGGGGGACGGGTGGGTGGCTGCATTCTGGAGAAAGCCTCTCCTCTTGGGTCTTAATCACCATTTAGTGTGAAATCAGGCTGTTTCTTCAGAGAAATTTAGTGTTTGAGCTCTATGTTTTTTTCATGAAACAAATGTGTGTCTATGGAGAGTCTTTTTTTTTTCTTTTTTTTTTTTTTTTTCCCGTTCAGATCCTGAACACCCCAAAGATTTCAGGCTGAAGATGCTGCCAGAGGGAGTGTGTTTTCATTTCCCTGCCATCGTTCTCTGCTGTGAGATGGCTTCCCCAGACATACCAAGCCTCTCAGGATACTTTGTAGGCAAAAGTTCCCATGATGAACTCCTTTTTTCCACTAAGACTAGAGACTATTATACGTACCATATCCACGGAGTCTAATTTAGGATTATGGTGTATGGAAGAAGATATAAGCATCAGTTACCAAAATTGCTATTCACAGCATGGTGGCCTTTTAAAGTATAAATATTTATATA